GAACCATGCGATAAATGTCTTGGTATTTTGAATGCAAGCTTTATCTTTATTGTCGACATTTTGTAGGTGAAAAGAATTGGCTAGTTTACATTGTTCATTATATTATGAAATATGATACTAGTTAAAATTCGCGTCGAGCTAAGTGTTATTGTATTAGGCAAATGAGAACCATACAATAAATGTCTTGCTGTAGTTCTTGTAGATATTTTGAAGGCACGCTTTATCTTTAGTATAGCTACCACAAAGCGTTTGGCGCACCAACTAGTAGCTACTGCGCGAATTTTAATACATGTATTAAGGTATATTGTCGACATTGTGTAGTGACTGTAACTGTCAAACCTTTTAACTTGCCCGTGTTTATATTGTATTGTGAACTAAATGTTGTTGTATTAGGCAGATGAGAACCATACAATAAATCAAAATAAACTGTCAAACCTTTAACTTGTCCTTGCTTATATTCCACTATATTGTACAAATTCGCGTCGGGTCCAAATTTTGGGGTTTTCGAGTCGTTTAATACAACATATTGATTGTATAAATCCGCCGGGTCGGCCAAATTTTGGAAGCCAAGTTTTAGAGTCGTTTAATTTAATACAAAAAGAAAAACATTAATTCAACACACAAGAAAGTCCAGAGTGCGACAAAAAAACAACACAACTACACCACGGATGTTTATGACTCTACAATGTATATTTATAGACAGTTGTTTATTAGTTAAAAAGACAAAAAGTCAAACTGTCGAACCTTTAACTTGTCCTTTGTAGAATTCGTTGGGTCCAAATTTTGGGGTTTTCGAGTCGTTACACGAAGAAAAACATATTAATTCAACACGCAAGAAAGTTCAGAGTGCGACACAACGTAAAATCCATAGGAAACCGGCACAACTCTTTGAAAATTCAACGAAACTGTGTGAAATATATTCTGATCACTCAGCCAAAAGGCACCATTTTGAAACTGGACTGAATATGTCACCATTGGAGTTCGGAATTGTGCGCGTGCGTATAAGTCCATACAAGTCTATATATGGGCTAATAAACGAAAAATGCACCACAAGCATGGCATGAGCCGGCTATTACGTACATAAATACAAGCTTCTTACTATTATACTTGAATCGTGGAGTCGAAGAATCGGTGGCATTTTGGATTAATCGTTGCACCCTGAGCCTGCGATGCGCGAACGCAAACTCGATTTCTCGACGACGAAAAAAACAGAAGAAAACAGAAAACTAGGGATTTAAGACACTTGACCTTTCAGGTCAGTGTAATTAGATATAAGAGATCAACTCCTAAAAGTAGGCGAATCCAAAGGGTATATAATATTGAGAGATGTTGAGAGTTTCAGTTGTTCTCATTGGCAGTACCACCCCCAAGCCAACTGAGAACAAAACACAAGCAGAAGGAACAGTATCTACAATGCTGTTCAATAATCTGCCTGAAGTGTTTGATAAATTGTTGTGGCTATCAATCTCAGGTATGTTAATGCCTGGGTCTCAGTTTGTGTATTGAGCGAAAATAGACAAAAAATCATAAAAAAATAAGTATGGCCTTGATTATTACCATTCAAGTTTTATATGATTTATCAAAGGAGATTCTAAAAATTGACATACTTTTCTTTGTCATGGCAACGATCACGTGATGTATATTTCGAAAAACAACACAAAAATTGATACGTTTTATTCAGAGGCTCTGCAGCAGTATAATTCGTTACTGAGAGGACGCAGAATTGCGATAATCATTCACACATGATATCACTGTTTATTGAATGAATCTGGAAAGTTTACATTTAGGCTTCGTTTCATTTTATGCGGCTATATTACGACGATCGGCATCAAACGAATGTTAAACGCGTCATTAAATGTTATCTACAAATAAATGTACGATTTCCGAATTAAAGCAGGAAACTTTGTTCCCTTGTTAATGTTTTTAGCTAATAAAAATAGCAAAATTTCGTCAAATTACCCTGCTGCAAGTCGAACGCGTTTTTCGCGTGATGAACTTCACGCGCCATAATGAAACAGTCTGCCACTTATTGTAAGGGATATTATATTTCCAATAACAACATTCATTGCGCATTCAAGCCGATATCTTGAAGCATAGTTAATGCTTGAAGGGAAGCATGCCATGGTGGAAAAGACCGACTAAACTGTACGTGCTATAATGAATTTATAATCCACAAGCAATTTTTCATTGAAAATAAGAAACAATCAACAATTAATACTGAATAATCGCAAGATAGCGCACTATAAGAAGCTTTTATTTATCAGCAGTTCAAAGGTCAGCTGTCGCAAATGAAACAATATTTATTGCTAGTCAGTATCCAAGAGTGAACACGGAACGTTTTAAATTGTCGTTTGCAAATAGATTAATTTTTAACTATAACCTATTCATATGATGTAAACTTTACTAATGTATTCTTAATATGTACTTGTAACATAAGATATGTATTTTTATCTTTTGATCTATTAAAAAGACTTTTGAATTGAATTGAATTGAAATAGCCAATTATTACATAAAAACTGAATAGTATACCGACTTCTTTGCATTGTATATTCCAAAATAATCCTGTCGCTCATATATACTATATTTTGATTTGAAGCAAACGCCCAAATTCACTAAAATACTCACACAAGGGGCGCATATTCTAACAGACGCATTACTGACAGATCGCGCGTGCAATACGCGCGCAAGATATTATCCAAGCGTGGGCAGACCCAGGCATTAACCGTACCTGAGATCAAAATTCTTCAAAATAACACAAGAAACTCATCGCAACTTCACAACTGGTATAAAAGAAAAATTATATAAAACATATTCTCTCTAATAATGGAGTTGATGTATGGAACTCACTAGAATAAAAAATAAAGACATAAACTCTCAATACATCGTCAAAAAAACAAATTAAGCAGCATTTTTTGATGAAAACATTCTATTTGCATATCATTCTATTTGCATATTATAGTTCTTCTATTACTCTGAAAATTTTCTCTCTGATTTGACTGTAAAATAAAATAATATATTATAAATCTAACAGTTAACTACAAACCTTTATTAGGGGCCTAAAGCAAAAAGCCTGACAAAGTATCTAGACGTAGGCCTTTAGCCCAAATTAATATAAGGAAAAAATGTAAATATTGTCTATAAAACTGTACATAGGGAAGAAAAATTAGAACTAAATAAATAAATGATAAAGAAACTCTTTCATTGGTAATGTTTCTGTTCTCGGGTTTTCTGGGATCAAATTCTTTCTTCAATGTTTAATCGCGGCCAGGATGTCGGTCTAAATCTTAAATTTTAACCTTGCTGGGATTTACTTCTTTTTTTGTTCCTTTGTTACATCCTTGGGGAACACTGGTACAGGCACTCAGACAGGGAAAATATATTGCTTGTTGTGAGCATAGTTGATCTTATAAATAGAGGACTGCAAGTACATGAGTACATGCCTCAACTGTTCCAGCTGTTCAAGGACACACATCCACACTTTTATATGTGAGTCATAACAAATCCTTTGTGGTGGACATACTGAGCTTTACAAAAAAATGTCATCGTCTTGTCAATGGGGCATTTGGCAACATGAATTATATCAACAAATCCACTCATCCAATATGAGTGCATGGGCCCTCTCATCTTTGTATTTGCTAATATATTCAACATCCACTGCCTTTACTCGTAGAATGTAGCATTCCATCATCAAGATTTCGCCAAGTTTGAATGTCATCTTTCCAATATTCATCGAAGAGAGTGTTAGGATCGCTCTTAATAACATCATTAGTTTGTAGCCTTTGTTGGCATTGCTTCTTACTTAATACTATCAAAAGTTTGTTCCTGTGTAAATTTATTTGGAGCACCAGACTCAACCTTTTCCCCACTCTGTAAACCCAACGAAATCCTAGTATTCAAACTTGTCCTTTGTAGCCATAAACAGCCAAAGTAAAATGACTATTTGCAATATAATCTCCTATGAGAACATAAAATATAAACAACTAAAACTCTCCATATCTCTCAATATATACCCTTTGGATTCGCTTATTACTTTTATAAGTTTATCTCTTATATCTATGTCGTATAAATGTCGTCAGCCATGATATGTGATTTGAGCCATTTATAACAAAAGATTCTTTATATCATAGCAACTTGAATTCAGAAATCTTAAAACCAAGATTTCGTCTTGAGCCTATAAAACAACTTCTTGAAAAAGGCTGTGTGATCAAATATGTCGAGGAAAGCATGCAGTCTCTAATGTCAAGACTATTACGTTTCAAAAAAGGAAGAAAGAACCAGGCAAGAGGAATGACGAACAAAGAAGAACAATAGCAAGAGTAGCGCTCAGCCTACTCTGTCGTATTTATTTAATATAAAGTCAGCTACAGATGCGAAAGACAACGATAAGTATCTTAGTGAGCAAGAATGTATCAGTGACTCATCGCGTAGTCAAGACAATTCAATGAATAGAGTAAAAATGACAGAACAACGAACAGAAATAATATATATGTTTTTTACTCAAGAAGGATAACAATTTCTTTTCTCATAATTTATTCACAAGTTTTTAAAGCAACAAATATTTTCAGGCCCCCCAGATTTTTGTTTGATAAAATTGAAGACCCTCCCCCCTTGATAAAAATGAAGACCTCTCTTCCCAGTTTTTCACCCATCTCCTTCCCCTCCCATTAATAATGAACGGTCCCTAACTCTGGTCCTTCACCGTCACGTATGTATTGTATTTTTGCCAAACCCACCAATAGCAATTTCCAATTTACCTTATTGTTTGAGTCACGGATAGGTAGTTTTCCTAAAACATTACTATTGGTTAGTTAGGCAAAGATATACACACGTGACGGTGAAATACCAGATTTGCGAAGAAACGTTGACGTGACTAACATAAATAATGAGTTATATTGTTATTCTAATGAGTTTCACAGCCATCGTCCCTTTGATAGGCTATGATTGGGTGGAGAGTGGAATTAATAATAATAATGAGAATAATTAATTAAATGTAAACTTACCCACTAAACTTTCCAAGAATTCAAGCCTCAAGCCAGGACGATTAACAAAGTGATCCACAATAATTCGTATAAAACGAGCAAAGATCACATGCAACGGTTTTTGGACAACAATAGAAGAATGATCAATGTTGGCAAAGAAGGTCTTGAAAAAAGAAAATGTCATAATTTAAAATAGTTGTACATGATAAGAAACGGAATAGTATTCTGTTATTAGGCAATGAAAGGGCCAACTGCCATGCAGCAGGTAAAATTACTATAAACACTACATTAGAAAACCACTACAAACCCAAACTTTTATTGCTTCGTTTAATAGTATCGAAATGTTGCTCAGAGTGATAAGTCTATGTTTAAATCAAAACAAAAACAAAGAAAATTGCGAAATTCAATTTTATTTCATTTGTATTTCTTTATATACTTTAAATGTTAGAGGAATTATGATTAAGGTCTAGCATACCCGTTTTCTGTATTTTATGTTTGTTTCACTTATATCGAATGAATAATTGGAAGTCGAGTTTCTGTTCTGAATAAAAAAATTTAATTGTTCGCAATTTTTTAGTTCCTGTGCATGCGCACTGACTACTGAGCTATGGTTGTACTACAAGGCGGTGCTCTCGCGCATGCGCAAATCAAGTGCACTACAAGCGCAAATGCATACTACATTTTGAATAAATACCAAGGCTTACGCAACTCACGCAATGTTTAAGCAATGCCTAACTTCGTTTGGGCAATTTTTACGATTGACAACAAATATGGGCCAAACAACTACTGTTCATATTATGTGTCACTCGCGTCAAAATTTTTATTAAAGAGCATCACAAAATTAACAATTTTCCAAAGTTTCGTTGCGAAATGTTGTAAAATGTAATACAGTGCAATTTTCAGTTATTTTGTATTACGCGTGGGAAATTTTAAAATTAAACGAAAATGCTTTTAATTTAAAACTGTATATAGTAACTTGTTTTGAAGATTTTTTTCCCTGCTTAGTTCTTGAGATATTTCATTTTGTTTGTAACCATGTGACGTTATTGACTCATTTACATATCTTTGTTATTTTTGGTGGATTTATTTAAAAAACCATTATGCTTAATGTAAATTAGCAAACGCGGCTCATCTTTGGAAAAAGTTTGATAAAAAATAGCAAAGATATACAACAATTACTGATATCTCATTATATATGTAATGAGTCAATGACGTCACATGGTTACAAATAAAATGAAATATCTCAAGAACTAAGCATGGGAACAAAAATCTTCAAAACAAGTTACTATATAGTTTTAAGAGCATTTACGTTTAAAAAAATAAAAATTTTGACGCGAGTGCCACTTTAAATACATACTAGAGATACATGCATGCATTTTCCAAGCATGAAGTAGCACGATCATTTTATATTATTTATATTTTTAACTTTGAAAAAAAAACCCTAAAAGATCACTTCTAATTACAAAATTATCAATTTCCCAAAGTATATGTATGTTAGATACGTTATTATAGTATAATACGTAATATAAACTTCAAAGTAATGTAAAATTTAACCACAAACGCTTCATAAAACGTAAAATTAGACTGCCTCTTATCGATAAACTTTGAGTTTGAAATGAAATCATTCCTAATTCTCGCATGAAAATAAATTTGCTTTCCTCCTCATTTGAATATTTTAATATAATAAAAATTAATATATCGATTATTCATGAACTTCAGACTTCGCTAATGCTTTCCTTTCGCCGGGTGCAAATAGCTGAGCGGAATTAGTACCGGAACACCGGCATCTCACTCGACGTTGGAAACGAAATGTTGAAAGGTTTTCGTGCATGGAAATTTCGAGTGTATTCCTGCCAAGGTAAACACAGTTTCATTTTCCGGAGCTGCTCCAGGTTAGGTCTAAAGATGTATAAAATTTACACTCGAATTTTCTATTTACAAAAACCTTTCAGCACTAAATATATAACATACAGTATATTAAATAAAATACAAACCTTGCGCGCGCCATACTCTTTGTAATCAAGAAAGTTCACTCCATCGTTACTCATTGCAACAGTAAAATTTCTAGTCCAGGAAGAGCCGTCTCCTGCACCTTGACTCCATATCTCCGTAATGCTTGCCCTTCTGCCAAAGTCAACTTGTATATAGTCACCGCTTTCTTTCCCAAGCCAGCCCAGAGGGAAATTAAGCCTAGCAGCGTGAGAGCCATGATCGACTGGAGTTTGTACAGATGAACGGATTTGACTATCTAAGATTTCGCTTCGGTTGAACATGCCCAACAGTTTTGAATTATTATTACCTTATAATAAAGCAGAGCGAAAAATATTACATATATTGCATGGAAAAATTATCGTAAAGTTTTACAACAATTGGTTGACTTATCTATAATATAAAAATTGCAGGGGCGTCGGAAGCGCCCGCCGGTCCCACTTTTTTAGTTGGGGGGCTAACAGGCGCGTAGCCAGGGAGGGGGGAGAATGGGGGATCCTGACCCCCACTTTTTGTAATGATCAATATTGTAATTCTTCCAAAATTGACAAGAAACTAGGGGTAAACTTTCTTTATATATTAATTTGACGTGTTATATTATTAGTTTATTATGCACATGCTTTGTTAGTCTCGTAAATATTTCATCTATGGCATAAAATAGACCAAATCTGTGGCATATAGATCACCAAAAGGCCATGCCAAATATGCGTGTGGGGGCGTTTCGCTAACCTTAAAATTGAAAAATTTCAGGGGACTATGTCCCCAGCTTTTAGAACTGTACTTTTATGTACTTGGCACTTTAGACCCCCCCCCCCATTCGTATGAGGCTGGCTACGCCGCTTGGGGCTAAATGTCTTTGCCCGCCCCCCTCCCCCCAATTTTTAACAATGGCGAATAATAAACCACACAGTTAAATGTAGGATATTACACGGCGGAGCGAAGATATGACTATTATTAAAAACTCCTTCTAAAGTGCAAGTAATGGCATTTTAGAAACTCTTGTTTTAAAATTTTCACGCGGGCACCGTCACGCTACGTGTGCCCGGTCCCTAACTTTTACAGCCGCTCCGACGTTCCTGAAAAATTGACTTGCAGAAACATATCTTATAATCTCACTAAATAGGTCTCGTGTTATTTGTGTAGGTTTAGTATATACAACTGAAACCAGTAAAATGTGTTCCATATAGGCTAGCTAGAACGGCCTTTTCTATTGAATCGATTGAAAAATGAAAAATAAATTCAATCGTAACATCAATAATTGAAACAGCAGTGTGAATCAAAGCATGTCGATTTGTTTGCTTGCTTGCTGGTAAAACTCATGTAGTATCTCAAGAACAAAGTGGAATTATAAAGCGGTTGCAGAAAGCTCTTCTACATTTCAATCAAGTATAAGACATGCAGCATATAATTTGAAGTTAAATGTTCTGTATATAATGATAATTATCCAAACAAATAAAAAGTGCACATCAACCCCTATAAAGGCACGTCTAACGTCATTTGTATGTATGTATGTATGTATGTATGTATGTATGTGTGTATGTATGTATGTATGTATGTATGTATGTATGTATGTATGTATGTGTGTATGTATGTATGTATGTATGTATGTATGTGTGTATGTATGTATGTATATGTATGTATGTATGTATGTATGTAAACTTTTATTTAAAAGCAAAAAAGGAAAAATAAACGACGCTAGCTTCATCAGCTACAAGCTGGTTTCCATGAGAGGCGTCGGAACACACTTGAATAAATAAAGTTATTTACAAGAATATTTACAAGATATTTACAAGATTACGAAGAAATAAGTAAGTTATGTATCAATACCATTGATATTCATTTTAAAGGTATATTCAGATTGAGCTAGTTTTGCTTGCAAAGGGAGGCTATTCCAAAGTTTTGCCCCGGTAAATTATTTGAGGAATTCGAAAACGCATGCCAAGCTACAAAGTTCACGTTGAATTGCGTTCTCGCACAAATTATGGTCTGTGCCAGTGTAGGTATCGACGATAACAAGACAACTGCGAATTGACGATTCCCCCTATTACGTTTTCGTATCGCTTTGCGTTGTGGTTATAGTGGTATCACTGATAAAGATAGAGGCCTCGAATGAAAATATTGAATGTTTTCGCGAATATTTTGCTATTGGCTATCGCGCACCTGAACAAAGCTTTTTATAAAAGTCCTTGCAGGGGTCAGGACAAAAAATAAACTATCTTCAATATCAGCGATACCACTATAACCACAATGCAAAGCGCTACGAAAACGTGATAAGGGTAATCGTCAATTGAGAGATACTGTAGAAAGAACTTTGACGTTTCGAGCGAAGGCCCTTCGTCGGCAAGTTAATACAAGGGCCTTTGCTCGAAACGAGGGCTCGAGGGCCTTCGCTCAAACCGTCGAAGTTCCTTGAAGTTTGAACCGTCGAAGTTCGACTCAAGGGTTTTCCATCGAAACGTCGAAATTCTGCTAATATTTTTCAGGTAGTTGTATCTCTCCCAATCTGCAGCCGTCTATATGTCTGGTTATACAGGCCATCATTCGGCCATCGTGTTTTTTATTATATTAATTTTGGTTATTGCATGGGTTTTGTGGATATTTATGAGTTGCAGAGAAAGCACTAGTGGTAAATATTGCAATGACCAGTGGCGGGCAAGGGCCCGCCCCCCCCCCCCCCAATAATTTTAGCTAGCTTTCGTTTGGAAAATTGTAACGCGCGTCTCACGCGCTATACTTGGCGAATAAGGGGCTCCCGTAACCGGATGTTTTGACGTTTTGAACTTGTATTTCCGGTTGGGATTAGCTCACAGTCGGACCGGGAATAAAAATACCGTGACAAAGATGCAAATTTGAAGATACAGGCTTGAAAAAAACAACACTCTAAATAGTGTTTTTGATAGCGATTCGAACAAGACTATTACAAAGAAGATACGTCCGAGGGGGCGAAATTATGTTTGGCGAAAGGTACATGGCTAGTCAATATTATTTGATCTACGATTTGAATAATTTTATACGATCTGGTTGACTTTCAAAAGCCATAAATCACAACAATGACAATGTTGGCAATGACTAAAACTATCGTGAGGAATTATTTGATATTGTTTCACTGAATCGAATGGTGTATTAGCATGCACTGAACCGAAGATATGAACAAACAAAGTCGTCAGCTTCTAGAAGCTGACAATGCGTGGGACTTCTCGAGAAAGAGTTAGTAAACCACCATTCACTTCCATTCACAAATATATTTAATCGTCTAGAATATTTTCTTGAAATGTTGTTTTTATACTTAGCATATGATTTATAACAAAATGCACCACTGAAATTTCATACAAAATGTGCTCTCAGAAAGCTGCACATGCCATTTCATTTTAAACCATTTCTGGTGGAGCAATCCCCCATTCCCCCCTAAAACTATCGTACCTTCGGCGCTCCCCCCCCCCCCCC